CTTTGGTAACACACACACACACACACACACACACACAGGTTTGTTTTTGTGAAAAGTGGGGACATCCCATAGGCGTAATGGTTTTTCTACTGTACAGACCGTATATTCTATTGCCCTACACCAACCCTACCCCTAAACCTACCCCTCACAGGGAACTTTGTGCATTTTTAGATTTTCAAAAAAACTTAATTATGTGTGATTTATTAGCTTGTTTACCCGTGGGGACCACAATTTAGGTCCTAAATGATAACAACATGATAACAAACATATTTCATAATAAAAAATAACAACAACAACATCAAAAATCTCTGTATATTTGAGCTATGTGAGTATTTCTATATTGACAGCTGTTTGGTGACAAATATATACATTTTTTTTTTCTATACTTAAAGGCTTAATAGAATATTTATATTTTGTATACTTTATAGCATTTCTCTAATCAACCTTAAATCTACTCTTCTGATGGGATCAGTATAATCTCTCTCTCTCTCTCTCTCTCTCTATATATATATATAGGCCTATACAGTGCCTTGCGAAAGTATTCATACCCCTTCTTTTTTTTTTTCACGTTTTGTTATGTTGCAGCTTTATGTTAAACTGCTTTAACTTACTTGTTTCCCCCCACATCAATCTACACTCCACACATCATAATAGCAAAGCAAAAAACAGTTTTGTAACAACTGTAGCAAATGTATTAAAAAAAAAAAAAAAAAAAAAACTGAAATGATTGCATTGCATAAGTATTTCTGGGACAATTTCGCTCTGGCGTATTCATATTGCTTGTAGATGTCACTACACTTCGAGTGGAGTTAACTTGTGGCAAATTCATTTGGATGGGTATGATTTGGAAAGACACACACCTCTCAATAAAAGGTCTAACAGCTGAAAACCAAGCCCTGAGGTCAAAGCACTGCCCGCAGAGCTCAGAGATAGGATTGCATCAAGCCACACATCTGAGGAAGAGTTCAACAAAATAAAAATAAATCTGCTGCATTGAAGAGTCACAGAAGCATGTAGCCTCTATTATCCATAACGGAGGAAGTTTGGAAACACTAGGACTCTTCCTAGAGCTGGCCTCCTTGCCAAACTGAGAAATTGATGAGTAATTCTACTCTTACTACTCTAAATATTTTGTTATTGTTGTTGTTAACTATATATTTCAGCCCGTTCTGATGTGGAAACATTATTATAATACTAATATACTAATTATTATTATTATTGTTGTTGTTATTATAACGCAGAATAACCATGGCTCTTATTTTCATATTCTCCTCTTCTATGCACACTTTTATGGAGGCGAGGAATTCGCTTTGCTGGGAGTTTCGGTCTATGAATGATTAACTGCGTCTCTCTCTCTCTCTCTCTCTGTCTCTCTCTCGGTCGCGCAACATCAAAGGTGGGCGGATTCCGTCGTCACTGACAACCAGCCCGAAATCAAAGCCTGAGGATCGGGATTGCATCACCGGCTCGCGCTGGGCTGGTCCGTCCGCTGCGTCAGGTGTGATCAGGCTTTTCTCGTGGGAACTCCCGCGCGCGCCTCCACGCATCCATCCATCGCCCCGGGATATAATGGAGGAATCCCACACATGACACTCGCGTTTGGGACGGACTTCATCTGCTTTGAGTCCTGGTGAAACTCGTCAACCAGGGCTCAGCTGTTCAGAAAGTTGAATGTGAATCTAAATGATCCAGATTTGGAAATGAATCCCATGTTTTGCTGTCCAGGATCAGGTAATCCATCTTACTTTTGCACCAGTTTTTCAGAGCAACACTGGACTGGATCACACTGATCCAGGAATAACAAAATAACTAACTTTTTCCCCCCAGATTATATAAACTGTATTAGCAGTGCTCTAAACTGGGCAACATATCACAATATAGGCTTACTTTGTTGACACTATTTTTTTATGATATTGACAGCTGTTTGGGGACAAAATCTTATTTATTTATTTATTACTATACTGAAAGGCTTAATAACATATTTCTATTTTGTATACATTATAGTATTTCTGGAATCAACCTTAAACTCTTCTGATGGGATCAGTATAATCTGTATGTGTGTGTATATATATATATATATATATATATATATATTTATCAAACTTATCCCAAACCTACTAAAAAGTTTTGAACAACACATTCTAGAGCAAAGCAAGACTGAATCAGTTATATTACGTTACATTTATTACATTACAATAAAATAAAATAAAATAAAAATACAATACAATGACATAATAAAATAAAATATACCTTAACTGAAAGAAATTGCAAACTTTACTTCACCATGTTGCCTAAACTAAAAATAAAATAAGCTAAAAATAAATACATAAATAAATAAATACATACATACATACATGCATGCATAAAAAATACAAAAATAAATACTGACAAAAATGCACAAATATTAATTAAGAAAATAATCCAATAAAAATGAATCCAAAACATACTAGTAAAAACTGTAATTGTATCTTAATGATACTAAAATACCACTGGATTACATGATCTAATTCAAGATGTGATCCAATCCGAGAAATCCAATCATTTGTATTTTAAACAGCTGGACTCTCATGATCACCCATCTTAAACCAGTTTCTTAACCAGCCCATAGCCAAGTCCTTACTAATCCAAACCCACATCCCTGTAACATCAACCCAAACTCAGAACCCAGCCCTGAATCTGATGTAACCCTAACCAGAGAGCTTGAGTAACCTTTACCCAACCCAAACTTAACCCTTGACTCTACCACTACACTGTCTGCTCAAAGCCGTCTTTCGTCATCATCTGCGCAGCTCTTTTCATTTCCTCTGACAGACGTCAGCGAGTGGAGCAGATGACTACACGCATACCGATTTCATAAGCACTTCTAAACACTGAGCTGGAGAGTGAGTGTTATCAGGAAGAGAGATCAGGGCCGTGACGAGAGATTAAAGAGGCGGCGTGTTATTAGTGCCACATCACTGCAGCTCAACAAGTGTGTGCAGATCTCCGTATGGAGCAACTCTTCACTGAGGATCCACTCCAGAATTCACTCCAGGTTCTCAGTCGGAACCGCTTCCAAAAACGGGAAAATATGTCAGTTTACTGCCATTTTCTCCCAAACGCTCATGCTAGGATTTCTTTCTGTGGAACGCAAAGGGACATTTTTGAAGAGTCATCGCGCAGCTCTTTTCTATTTTTCACCTGTCAAGTCCACCCCCCCCCCAAAAAAAGCAGTGTTGGGGAATATTACTTTTAAAAGTTGTGCTTTACAATATTGTGTTACTCCATAAAAAAGTAACTAATTGCGTAATTTTTTATGGAAAGTAATGCATGACATTATTTTTTAGTCACTTTTTGTCACCTGAGCTGGGCTTGCTTAATAATTTTTAATAACAAAAACCCAAACGTTTTTATGTTTGGCAACTGTAAAGATGGCCCTTTCACACCAAAAATAAATGCTGAAGAAAGTGCCTTTGCACCTCACCTTGGGACAGGAGAGCTGTCAGTGAGTAAATGGGAAAACAAAATAACTTCTGTTACTTATTTGAAAAAGTAACTCAGTTATTTTCTTGTAAATGTAAAAGTAATGCGTTACTTTACTAGATACTTGAAAAAAGCTGATTATGTACTTGTAATGAATCATAAGATGCTTTTTGCGAAGAACAGACTGAATTCTATAAGTCATTATTCACTGATAATCTTCTCTTCCATTGAAACCATTGCAGATGGATCACTGAGTCGGTGAGTGTAGCAGATTAGTCTGATTCGTGAACTGAATCAACTGATTCACTGAATCAGCACAAAATAGTGATTCGTTCACTGCTTACATTTTGGTCCGTCTGATTGGTTTGTTTCACCAATCAATTATTTTTTTGTCCGTTTTTGAACTTCAGCATAGTTTTAACAAGAGTTATTATTATGGAAATAATATACTTTAAACGAATATACTTAAGTTTGAACTTAATGTAATGTTTTCAGACACTTAACTGCATGTTATTTGCAATGCAATGGAAATGTAGTATAGTTTAAATTTATATTAAATGCAATTAGCTGGAATTTTAAGCTGCATGGTGTTTTTTTTTTTTGACTCACTTAAGTAGAACTTAAAAGTACTTAGAACTGTTGAAACGTGTATGCCATGTATTTAAATATATATTTGTATTATTACATATTTGTAACTACACATTCACAATGAGGAAGTTGCAATTTATTACATTTGAAATAAATTAACCTTAAATATAATATTGAATAACACACTATAGTTCAAATTATAATGAAGTACTTTACATGCGCTCTAGTAATCATAAGTGTATTACAAATAAGTGTACTTCTTTAAAGCATGACAAAAGATTATTAAAACACCATGATTTAAAATGTTCTTGAAAACTTTTCATTTGATATCATTACAAAGTGGACTTTTTAAAAGTGAAGTCATAAGTGTCTCTCTTCAAGTCACTTAAGTGGCCTTTTATTTCAATAATATTATTATCTGCAACTACAGTTTTTTTTTTTTAAACATACGTGTAAGATTTGAAGTGCAGTGCAAGTGCTCAAGTCACTTAAGTGGCCTTTTATTTCAATAATATTATTATCTGCAACTACAGTTTTTTTTTTAACATACGTGTAAGATTTGAAGTGCAGTGCAAGTGCACATTCAATACAATTAAGCACACTTCTGTTTCACAATGGTGGTCAATACAACATGACGTTAAAATGAAATTTATCTTTCTGTGTTCCACTGAACAAATAACAGCGACATGAAGGTAAATAATGACCGGATTTTTTATGCTCTCAACAACCAATAAATAACAAAACACATTGTGGTCGGTGGAAGCTGTGTTCATTCTCATTGCATGTGAACTGGTGTTCACTGTAGTCATGCCTTTAGCTTTTTATAGTTTTGTTTGTGTTTGTCAAGAATAAGGGAATTTCATGCAGTCGGTTCATATTGGTGTTTGTGATCTCTACTCAGGTCTGGAGTGTGTCAGGCTCATTGTGTTTGTGGTTGGTCTTGTGTTATAGGTGCTCTCTCACACACAACTTTGACCGTGACCAGAAGTGGGGATTCTGCAGTTCACAAGCACGACTCTTTAATGGTGAGAAATCATCTTTTCTTTCCCATTAAAACTATTAAGTCAGCCGTCTTTCTGCTACGTCCATCTGTAAAGATAGAGCTTGCATTCGATATCTCATCTCTAGTATTTGCTCTGATTTCTTACCAGTCTGAGGAACCAAACAGTAATCATCGCCAATTAGATTCACAATGTGTGATGTTTAATAAAATGAAGCACAGTAAAATCTAGTTAAAAACAACCATGACATGTGATAGTTTAACTAAACGAATGCAATAAAGTTCTTTATATGCATATAACAATAAATAGTAATAAACAGCAATATTTGCTAACACATATCTTAGGGGTAGGCGATATACCAGTAGACACAATTAACCGGTAGAAATTTGTCAACCGGGAGAGATTTTGATCGCAGTTACACGCTCACGTGACGTTGCTGTGCTACGTGGTCAGGAACACTTAGCGTTTGCACAAATTTTGAAGCATTGCATTTAAAAAAACAAGTGATTTTAAGCCGTTGAAATGCAATCAGCAGTGAAAGAGAACTCATTTCGCTATATGTGCACGCTGAGGTTCATAGAGCGTGGAATTATTGAACAGAGTTATTTTTGCTGCTTTATAGGCCTTGAAAGGTTAAATACACACACTATGTGTCAAAATGCCCGTCTTTGCAAGTATCCACGTAACACAGTAATTTAGGTTTAAGTGAAAGCAAAGAGCTGAGAAAGAAAACGCATGTGTAACAGTATATTGGATCCGGGCAGCTCTTAAAGTGACAGCAGTCTAATATTCCTGCTGTCTGTCGTTCAAGTTAATCAAACAACAAAAGAGACCAAATCTCTCGCTGTTCTTGACTAAATCACTTTTTTAACTTTAATAAAATGAAATATATATTTAATTTACACAGTGTTTTTATACATTTGATCACTTTATACAATGTATGTAGTATTTCTTATAGTTTTTGTGTCCTATTGCTTGTAATTAGTTTCTAATTCTTATTTAATCGCTGTCTGTTTACTTGTCTTCAGTGAGCTTGAGGTTTTTATTTTAATTTTTTTATTTAGGCTAGTATTCGTTTTTTGTTTTTTTTTTTGCTTTAAATATGGTCTCTATGATGTGAAATTTTTTGATACTGGTGAGAAGAATTATGAAATTTCTACGGTATCAAAAAATTTCACATCATAGAGACCATATTTAAAGCAAAAAATAACTATATTGTGACATTATAGTTTATAATTTATACAATTATATAACATTATTTTATAAATGTATTTATATATCTATATTTAATTTTATATTTTTATTTTTATTTGAATTTACATTTATATGTATACATTCTATTTTATTTTTTATAACGTTTTAGTAATTTTAGTATTTCAACTTAAACTCATTTCGGTTGAAGCTTAAATAATTTAAAACTTAAATCTAAAATAAAATATTTGTAACAATTTTTGACCATTTTACTTAACACTCCATGGAAGTGAATTAAACAGTTTTAAACATAACTAAACTTAAACAGTTTTTAAAATTAAACTCAAAACTACTCTAACGGCTGCTAAAGAAACATAATGGCCAAAAATCATCTACAATCATTGCATTATTCACCTTACTGCTTTGTTTTGCATTGCCAACAAAGTCATTAAAGGTATAACGTCTGTGGTCAAGAGTACACTTCTCGCTCTGGATGGATTCATGGCAGAAAGTGTGGGTTTACCAGGATGTTTGACTTTCAGAGGGAGCTGTTTATGTTCATGCATAAATGACAGGCTTTGTTTGTGAGATGCACTCCACCAGACCTCCATGTTTACAACAGCAGATGCACAAAGTTTGTGCTCTGGTTCAAACACACTGCGTGTGTATACGCTCATAAACAGGAACGTCATGCACTGGTTGTTTAAAAGATCACTAGTGGCTTATTTGGTTCCCCAATACAAGACTTTAGATATTTTTATTTTAAACTTAATTATCAAATTAATTCAAAACACAATGTGCTCTGTGAGTTTGAATGGGCAGAAACGCTTCTGTACTGTATGTAACTGTAATTGTGGTTGAGAGTGATGCAGACTGCATTGTTTATGATTGTAAAACAGATACGTTCTATGACTCAGTGACTCATTGAGTGAACTCATCTGCACATTGAGTCAGCTCTCCAGTCATGATGATAAGTGAGTTTTGCTGTATTTATCTCCTCCTCTGCTCAGGGTTTCTTCCTCCGCGTCGCGGGTCGAGTCTCTGTCGGCAGAACCCGTGTTTAAATGGCGGCGTTTGTGCGACAGCCGCTCATCTGAACTCATTTGATTGTGTTTGTCCTGATGGATTCACGGGAGCTCTGTGTGAAAAGAGTGAGTCAAACACACACAAGGAGGACATATTTATATAATGCATTGATAAATACAGTGTGATTATGACTTTTTGGTGGGCACTTGTAGTGTACTTCAAATCATAAAAGTTTATTTTTAAAAGTCTGTACTTGCAGATAATATAATATGAATGAAATAAAAGACCACTTAAGTGACTTAAAGAGAGACACTTTCACTTTCTAAACACACTTAAGTACACTTTTAAAAAGGGACCTTTGTTATAATGTCATATTAAAAGTTTATTTAAAGTACATTTTCAATCATTGTTTTAATAATCCTCTGTCATGTTTTAAAGTACACTTATTTTGATGTGTTGACTAACATACTAAACCACATAAAAAATGACCTAATTATAATTTTAACTGTAGTGTGTTATTCGATTTTACATTTAAAGTTCATATATTTAAAATGTACTAAAGTTAATGTATTTTAAATGTTCTAAATTACTTCATAACTTCATTACACATTACAAAAAACATTTAAATTCTTTTGAAACTTGTATTCAAGTATATTTTAGTTTATCATAAATGCTTGTTAATACATTCAGCAGTACTTTAACCATATTTCAAAGACAATAATTACATATAAAGATGCACTTAAGTCCTACTTAAGTTGGTCAAAAACACAAAGTTCAACTAATTGCATTTAATATCTATTTAAATTAATACATTTTCATTTAATTGCAATTAACATGCAATTAAGTGTAACATGCAGTTAAGAGTATCTATCTAATATACATATTTTGTTTAATTCTGAAACAATTAATTATAGTTCCATCTAAGTTATTTTTGGGTATCATTAAGAGTATTATAGTCTGCAGTAATGATAATTATCTTAACAGTAGTAATTAACAATAATGGTGTTGGATCTGTTCACATGCAGGAGACTAACGTGAGTATTAGAGCTTCATTTTTCTAGCACAGAATCACATGTTGGTCTCCATTCATGTGTCTCTCCCTTTTATGTTTTGAAAAGCTCTCATCTTTAACGCTATCACATGTCCTGTGATCCGTGAAGGTTTTGTGTCCTTTATTTTGTCAGTCATCTGATATCGGTCGAGTTCTGACGGGTGGGAGAGCCGGGAGGGTGTGTTCTGATGCTCGGGTTCGTTTCTGTGGTTTGTTTTGTAGAGAAGTGCTATGAGCCGCTGCATCTGAAGTACTATGACACCGGAGACTCGTGGGGACGGATCTACCTCCGATCTGTAGAGCTGTGCACGTGCCTGAGCGGAGGGGTGAGCTGCGAGCGTGCGCGTTACACGGGTAAATAAACAACTGACACCTGATCACCCGCAGCTACTGCTGTATTCCTGCTACACATTCTTCTTTCTGTGTGTGTGTGTGTGTGTGTGTGTGTGTTTAGTGTGTTCGAGAA